CCCCAAACAGTGTGTGTGCGTCTAGCAATCTACGTGGTGCTGTCTGCGTGGAGCAAGCTACGTGGTGCAATCAGTTTCTGTTCGCAGTGGGTTGGCAGCTCCACCGCTCGCGCAACCATCCCACCCACCCACCCGCAACTGGCTAGCAAAACGCGTGCGGCGGCGATGCCATGGGTGCTGGACGTTGGCTGGCCCATCTCTGCGGCCACGCGCGCGCAGCGGCCAGCTAGTTTGGCGTGACCGACGTGGCCGCGGTGGCGCTGACCGCTGGGCACATCCCAGCGGGCACTTCAAGGCGAGTCGGCGACTTGGGCGGGCGCGGTGTCATGGCAACGTCGAGAATGGTCGACACGACGATGACAGTAACAATGCTCGTGACGATGTTGACAACGACGACGGCGCGGCCACTGCGGGCGCCGATGCTGATCACGCCGACATCGTCGAAGGTTTTGGACAGAGTTCGACATGCGCGCGCGGCCGACGCGCGAGAGTGGCCCGCATGGTATTCTTTGAAACGGATCGTGCCCCCCCAGCACGCGCGCAAGGGCGTGCGAATGATGTCGGCATGCGGCGCTAGAGGCCCGTGTGGCAGAATTCAATGGAAATGTTGACAAAAAGATGGGTTGCTCAAGAATTCGCAAGAGCGCGAGCGCACGCGTTCTTGAAAAATGGTGTTGCGAAACCGTGTGGTTTTGATATGTTGTTTGGACACTCGGTTTTGAAAGTGCTACGAAGCCGTAAGGATGTTTGACGGATGTCGGCATGCGCGCGCGACGACGCGCGCGTGTGCACTTCGTCACATATGTTGCAGAGGGTTCTCGCGACGGCACACGCGCAAGGGCGCTCGAACGATTTCGACATGCGCGCGCGAAGCCCGGTTGGTAGCATTTTCTGAAGCGATGAAGAACAAATGGTGTTTTCTTATAAATTCGCAAGAGCGCGCGCAAGTTGTTTGGAAATTGCGCGCGTGTGTGCGAAGCTCTGTGTTTATTTTGTACGGTTTCGGACACACAGTTTTGAAACCCGTGCGAAACCGAAGGTTGTTTGACGGATGTCGGCATGCGCGCGCGACGACGCGCGCGTGTGCACTTCGTTCATTTTGTTGCACGGGATTCTTGAAAATTGAAGATATTTGATAAACGAATGTGCGCGCAGATCCTCTTTTGCACAGGATGGCCGGGGGGGGCGATACCGGCTCGGCTAGGATGGAATCAGTTCACAATTCAAGATGGACGATGAGGCGGAATGATATGTAAATTGCACATCCCCAGGGCGTACCGATAAGTCCGGCCTCGGGAAGGTGGTAGGGTCTATTTCCTCTCTAGAAAAGAGAATCGATGGGGTGCAGCCTATGTGGAGGAATTCGCGTTGAGCAACTCATGCTGTGCAGTCTATGTTGTTGTCCTATATATGTGGTCCAACACGCCAGAGACGACAGGCGGCGACGAGTCGGGGACGGGGCGGCGACGGCGGCGCATAATACGTTGCGCAATAGACGTAGTTCAGTTTATGTGGTGCAATCTGTGTGATGCACAAGATGCAGTGCAATATGTGTGGCACAATGTATGCGCAATCTATGTGGACAATCTACGTGGTGCAACTAATCATTTCACTCACCCACCTGTACTTTGGTTTTCAAAACCATGCGGCGGCGACTACAATAACTTTGACGCTGGCTGGCACATCGCTGAGGACGCGCGCGCAGGCTCGCATGCAAAGCGGCCAGTTACCGCCCGCATGCGCCCCGGAACACCCAGTTTGGCATTCTCACCCACCAAGTACAGCGCTTCGTGGCCCCATAGGGAGCTCCACCGAAGCCCCCAATGGGACCGCCCAGATGCGTCCCGGAACACCCAATGTGGCATTTTCGCCCACCCAGTACAACGTTGGCCGACGCGGCCGCGGTGGCGTTTTACCGCTGGGCACTTTCCAGCGCGTCGCGCAGGCCGCGCTGACGCGCGGGCACTTCAATGCGAGTCGGTGACTCGGGAGGGCGCGGTATCATGGCGACATCGACAACGGCAGACACGATGATGATAATACCGATGCTGGTGGCAGTGATGACAATGACGACGGCAAGGCCAATGACGGCGCCGATGCAGATCACGCCGCTGACGATGGTGTCCACGTGTCTGTGATGAAGGTTTTGGAAGGATTTCGACATGCGCGCGCGCCCAACGCGCGCGAGCGGCCCACATAGTGTTATTTGGCAGGAATCGTGCCCCCCCAGCAAGTGCGCAAGGGCGTTCGAATGATTTTGGCATGCGCGCGCGAGAGGCCCTCTTGGTCGCACTTGATGAAGACGTTGGAAATCAACAGAATCACAAGAACTCGCGCAGCCTTGTTTGAAAAATCAGAATGCAAAAACGCTTGGTTGTTTTATCTATGTTTGGGACACTCGATCTTCAAACCCTCACCAAACCCTAATTCCCGACCTAGGCTCTGCCTAGAAGTGTTCTTACTTTATAAGCTTGTAGGGCCGGGCAGTGGAACCCGCCCTGGGCGGTTCCCCCAGGATCCGCCCCGCGGTTCCTCCGGCATCCACCCCGCGGTTCCCCCAGTTGCGCCCCTGCTTAGCTTAGCTTAGCTTAACTTAGCTTAGCCTATATCATCTTAGCTTAGCTTTGCCTAGCCTAGCTTAGCTTAGCTTAGCTTATCTCATCTTAGCTTAGCTTGGCCTAGACTAGCTTAGCTTAGCTTAGCTTACCTCACCGTAGCTTACCATAGTTTAGCTTAGCTCAGCTGGTATTAGCTTAGCTTTGCTTATCTCATCCTAGCTTAGCTAAGCTTAGTTCTAGCCTAGCGTAGCCTAGCTCAGCTTAGTTTAGCCTAGCCTAGCTTAGCTTGGCTCAGCCTAGCCTAGCTTAGCTTAGCGTATATCATCTTAGTTTAGCTTAGCTTAGCTTATCTTACCTTAGCTTAGCTTAGCTTAGCTTTGTTGAGCTTAGCTTAGCTTAGCTTACCTCATCTTAGCTTAGCTTAGCTTAGCCTGGCCTAGCTTAGCTTATCTTAGTTTAGCTTAGCTTCGCCTATCTCATCTTAGCTTAGTTTAGTTTAGCTTAGATTAGCGTAGCTATCTTAGCTTAGCTTAGCTTGGTTTAGCTTAGCTTATGCTGCTTTCCTAGGGGCTCCAACTCCTAGGTAGGGTCGCACTGGGATAATGTTGTTAAGGATTTCGGCATGCGCGAACGACGACGCGCGCGTGGGGACTTTGACAATGTTATGTTGCAAGGGACTTTCGAATACTGTGGGTGTTTGATAGAATGCGCGCGCATAATATTATCTGACAAGGATGAGACGGGGGGTCGGGCCGGTTTGGCTGAGATGGTATGAAATCAATGGAAAATGAACGATGGGGCGGAATCATATATAGATTGCACTTCCCAGGGGGTCGGATAATCCCCAGGTTGGTAGATCTTCATAACCGCCAGAGCGGCACACCAGCCTAGACGACGGGCGGCGACGAAACGGCGACGGGGCGGCGACGGCGGCTACATAGCCGCCAGGGCGGCACACCGGCCCAGACGACGGGCAGCGACGAGGCGGCGACAAGGCGGCGACGTGGCGGCGACGGCGGCTACATGGCCGCCAGAGCGGCACCCTGGCCCAAGTAGGCGCTGTGTGGGGGAGCAAAGAGAGAGAGAGAGAGAGAGAGAGAAGGGCCGGCCCTCTCGAACGCGGAGCCTCGGCCCTCGGGCCCCACCCGGAAGGAAGCGGGTCCTGGACCCTGGGGCCTCCCCCCCCCCCGGACCTGCTCTTCGCCCGCGGCCGCTCTCCGACACTCCCCCCCCCCCCCCCAAGGGCCCGCGGAGGGCCCAGGGAGGCCAAAAACGGCGAACAGGACTCAGGATCCGTTTCTCTCGGGACCCGCTTGCGCGGCCCCAGGGATCTGAGCTGGATCCGGCCAGAGAAAGTGGGTCAAAAGAGGGAGGGATGAGGGCAAATCCGCTCAAAATCAATCCACAAACCCCTCCCGGGGTCCAAACGTACACCAGCCTTCCGAGCTGCGCCCGGCCGTTGCGACGAGGGGCCCCCCGAAGGCCAACTACCGCTGGCTCAACTCGCCCCCCCCCTGATTCATGCCGAGAACCCCGATGCACGGCTGTGCTCCTCGGCTTCAGGGCCCCCTCTCGTCATGTTAGCATGGGGGACGTCCTGAGGAAAAGGCGCAACATAAACTTTCGAAGATCCGCGCGGATGTCGGCGCTGGGCCCCCCCGTGCCTGGCGCGGCGCGGAGCACGCCAGGGGCGGCGCCGAAGGCGCCGCCAGGGGGCCCCAGCGCAGATTAAAGAAATCTGCGCGCAGCTCCGAAAGCTTGCGCACGCTTATGCGGCGTGCTCTTCTTCGAACAGATGGCGAGCGCCCCGATCCACGATTCTGCTCCTCCACTTCGGGGAAACAGGTCCTGAGGAAAACGGGTCCTAGACCCTGGGGCCTTCCCTCAGGACGAGATCTCCATCGTGAGCCATCTTCTGACAATCCTGGGGCCCCCGGAGGGCCCCAGGAGCCCGAAAACAGGAGAAAACACCTCAGGATCCGTTGCCCTCAGGGGCCCCTGGACCCTGGAGGGCCCCAGGAGCCCGAAAACGGCGAAGAACCTCAGGACCCGTTGCCCTCAGGTTAACGGGCGAAGAACGGTATAAAATAAACGTTTTCGCTGTCGGGGGCGCCTGTCCCTGGGCGGCTGGAAAGTTTATACCCTTACGGTGGCACCCTAGGGGTAGAAACTTTCCAGCCGCCCAGGGACAGGCGCTCCCGACAGCAAAAACGTTTATTTTATACCGTTCTTCGCCCGTTAATTAGTGGATGTATTTCGGGGGTGGACAGACCTCCTACCCTGACACGTCGATTAAGGAGTTGGCAATTGGCCGTTGTCGGTTCGCGAGAGGGCGTCGCGGCCGTCATTTCTACGGGTGCGGGTCCGTCGGTTTCGGTCCCGGGCCGTTTTCACTAAGGGGAGATTTACTAAAGGGAGGTTTGTCCTCTTCGCTCGCTGATCAGGACCCGTTTCCCCCACGGCGGCCGGTGGCGGCCGGCGGCGGCCGCCTGGCGGCCTGCCGGGCGCCGCCGCCCTGGCAAAGGGGCGGCCCTCGGCGCTGCGCTGCTTGCTGAGCATCTGCACCATCACGCCGATCTCCTGCGGGGGGGGGGGGGCAGGGGCGCCGGGGAAGAGGGCGGCGGTGCCCCCCCCCTCCCCCTCCTCCTCCTCCTCCCCTCCGCCTCCTCCGCCTCCTCCCCTCCTCCTCCTCCTCCTCCTCCCACCTCCTCCTCCTCCTCCTCCTCCTCCTTCTCCTCCCTCCCCCTCCTCCTCCTCCTCCTCCTCCGCCTCCTCCGCCCTCCTCCTCCTCCTCCTCCTCCTCCTCCTCTCCTCCTCCTCCTCCTCCTCCTCCTCCTCTCCACCTCCTCTCCTCTCCTCCCCTCCTGCTCCACCTCCTCCTCCTCCTCCTCCTCCTCCTCCTCCCCCTCCTCCTCCTCCTCCTCCTCCTCCTCCTCCTCCTCCATTCCTTCTCTTTATGAATAACTTCTCCCTGTCGCACCCCGAGGCCAGTTGTTAGGGCGGGCCGGGCGTTTCGCCTGAGACTTCCTCATCATGTATGACCCTGAAGCTTGAAAACGAACAACAGTTTGACAAATGGAGGGCGGGTCGTTTTCCAAATGTGGCTCTCGCCTCAGCGCCGCGCACATTCGTTTTGAACATGTGCACGAGCTTCACGGATTGAGGGCGGGTCGTTTTCAAAATGTGGCTTTCACCTCAGCGCCGCGAACATTCGTTTTACAAATTTGCACGAGCTTCACGGGTTCAGGGCGACCCGTTCTTTGAACTGTGGCACTCGCCTTAGCGCCGCGAACATTCGTTTTCAAAAAACTGCAAGAATTTCCCGGACTGGGGGCGGTTCCTTTTCAAAATGTGGCTCTCACCTTAGCGCCGCGCACACTCGTCTTTTAAACTTTGCAAGAGTTTCAGCGGTTCCCATGATCGACGTACCAGAACTGGTAGTTTGGAAGTACTCAGGATTATGAGGGTGCAATAGTTGTGTTGATTCGCGGCGATGAAGTCACAGGAATGGCGTTCTGGCACGATTCCGGATCGTCAGGACGCAACAATCAGGTTGATCCGTGGCGTTGACCTCCCGAGAACCATGTTTTGGCATGCTTCAGGTCTTCAAACGGTTGTCTTCCAACGAGGCAGACCCCTCTGTGAAAATGAACCGTTGTCGGGCCTTTGAAGAGAGAGCGTCGAGGGAGGGTTCATTCAAACATCAATGAAGACTCTTAGGTTTTCACTGGTCTTGCTCCTCCTCCTCCTCCTCCTCCTACTCCTCCTCCTCCTCTTTCTCCTCCTCCTCCTCCACCCACTGCTCCTCCTACTCCTCCTTCTCCTCCTCCTCCTGCCCCTCCTCCTCCTCCTCCACCTCCTCATCATCATCAGCGCAGCAGCATCGTTCTCATCATCATCAGCATCATCAGCATCAACATAGTCAGAATCAGCATCACCAGCATCATCATCATCATCATCAGCAGCAGCAGCAGCAGCATCTGCATCATCATCAGCATCAGCATCACCATGATCATCATCATCATCATCATCAGCATCATCATCATCATCAGCAGCAGCATCGTCATTACCATCATCGCCAGTATTATCATCCTCCTTCTCCTCCTTCTCCTCAACGTCCGTCCTCCCTCCCTCCCTCCCTCCCGCCCTCCATCCCTCCTGCCATCCTGCCTTCGCGCGCACACCTAAGAAGGTCCAAAGAACCGAGCCAGCCGCACTGGGCAAGCTGGCCGCACGCGTTCAAGGTGCATCGGAGGGTGGGGATAAACGAGGAGGAGCTGGGCAAGGAACGAACTGGAGGAGAAGGAGGAGGAGGAGGCGGAGGGAGGAGGAGATGGGAAGAGATAGGAGGAGGATGAAGGAGGAGGAGGAGGAAAGGAGGAGAGGAGTAGGAGGAGGAGGAGGAGGAGGAGGAGGAGGAGGAGGAGGAGCACGGGGGGAGGAGGAGGAGGAGGAGGAGGAGGAGGAGGAGGAGGAGGAGGAGGAGGGAGGAGGAGGAGGAGAGGAGGAGAGGAGGAGGGAGGAGGAGGAGGAGGAGGAGGAGGAGGAGGGAAAAGGAGGAGGAGGAGGAGGGAGGAGGAGGTGAGAAAAGACAGAGCAACGGCGGCCATCCCGGCCTCGAGCTCACTGGGCCAACAAGGGGTGGCAGTGGGCACGGGCCCAGGCCTCCCCCTCGCACGTGCCGAGCGACGGCTCCCTCTTCCGGGGCTCGCCGGCGCGCAGCGTGCCATAGCTTCCGCACCCGGGGCCCCGAAGAGCAGCGCGAAACGAGATGGGCCACGCAAATGTCGACGCACCGTTTGTCCTCGACGCGCCCAAGCGCACGACGCCGGCACCGCGGCGAAAGCCCAGGGCAAACCCCGCGTGCCGCGCCCAAGGAGACGCAGCTGGCACCGCGGCAAGACCCCACGGCAGGCCCAGCGCCCGAGGCGGCAAGCCCGGC